ACTGCTCCAGTAAAGATTTACAGCCTTGAAAACGCGATAGAGCAGTTCTCCTCCATCCAGTAGGGTTGCTGTGAGATAAAATCAACTTGGTGGCACAAAACAACAATGGTATCCTGATAGATTTTAATTCCAGATTTGAAAGTGAACCAGATCCTGAAGTTGAGACAATTAAGACAGTTGTAGAAATGATAAACAGGAGCAAAACTCAAGAAAATGAAATAAGCGAAAATAGGAAAGGGACACATAACTAAAGATATGAGTGACAGCATATTCTCATATATGCCTTCAGGTCAGAATCAAATCTCTGCCCAGAATTTCCTTACTTGTCTATATTATTTTCTAATTTATTTACTTTTACTACATTTTATCTAAGAAAAAAATACACATTTCTTTACTATTTCTTACCTAGAACTGAATACCTCAGATATAGAACTTAAAGTGTTTAACCTACTGGCAATTAAAACGTTTTTAGAACCATGTATGATAGATATTTTTATAGAATTTTATATTTTAGCAACTACAAAATCTGTGGAGTTACTAAATTTATTGCTGTCAAGCCAGTAGAGGGAGAAAGGGATGGGGGGAAGGAAACTAAAGCTGTGTTAAGTACTGTCACAAACTTACTTCCTATGATGGTCAAAACAATCTTATGAGCTAGGTAGTATTCTTCCCACTGTATAGCAAAAAATAACCAAACACACATTTCTCTTTCAAATAACTTAGCAGTTATAATGAGAAGCAGAAGTGTACATAAATAATAACCCTAGATGGATTTCTGCTGGGAGAAATGTAAATATAGCATGAGTGGTTGCTTAGCTCAAGGAATGAGGAAAAGTTTTCTAAAAGAAGAGCAATTTGAGGCCCTTCTTTTTGATGTTAGGTAACACTAATACTTTATTTTTGGATGGGCAAAACTACCATAAATTAGCCATTTTGACAGTATATACAGAGGCATTATATGTGTTGTTGTACTTGTTGTTAGATGCCACTGAATCATCTCTGACTCATAGCGACCTTATGTACAACAGAATGAAACACTGCCCAGTCTGGTGCCAGCTTCACCAGACTTCAGCTTGCTGTACCTGAGCCCACTGTTGAAGCCACTGTGTCAATCCGTCTTGAAAAAGGGCCTTCCCCTTTTCGTTGACCTTTTGCTTTACTAAGCATGAATCCTTATCCGGGGAATGGTTCCTTCTGACAACATGAGAAAAGTAGGTGAGACAAAGTTAGGCCATTTTCATTTCCAAGGAGCATTCTGGATGCACTTCTTCCAGGGTAGATTTATTAGTTCTTTTAGCAGTGTTATCGTACTCTCAGCGGGAGCTCTGGTAGCATAGTGCCTAAGGCACTTCACTGCTAACCAGAAGGCTGGCGGTTCAAACCCACCAGCACTCCTCGGAAGGAAGGTCGGGCAATCTACTTCCGTAGTGATACTGCCTCAGAAACCCAAGGAGGGGTTGCTATGAGTCGGGTCCTACTCGATGGCACATAACAACAACAACAGTACTCTCAGCATTCTTCACCAACACAACTCAAAAGCCTCAACTCTTCTTCAGTCTTCTTTATTCATTGTTCAGCTCTCATATGCATAAGAGGTGATTGAAAATGCCATGGTTTGGGTTAGGTGCACCTTAGTCTTCAAGGAGACATCTTTGCTCTTAAGCACTTGAAAAAGGTCTTTTGTAGCAGATTTGCCCATTGAGGTACATCGTCTGATGTCTTGACTGCTGTTTCTATTGGTGATCACTGTAGAACCAAGTAATATGAAGTCCTTGACAACTTTAATCTTTTCTCCATCTATCATGATGCTGTTTATTGGTCCAGTTGTGAGGATTTTTGTTTTCTTTATATTGAGATGTAATCCATACTGCAGACTGTAGTCGTCAATCTTCATTAGTAAGTGCTTCAAGTCATCCTCACTTTCAGCAAAGTTGTGTTATCTGCATATCACAGGTTGTTCATGAGTCTTCCTCCAATCCCGATGCCCTGTTCTTCTTCATATATCCAGCTTCTTGGACTATTTACTCAGCATACAAATTGAACAAATATGGTGAAAGGATACAACGCTGGCACACTCCTTTCTTGATTTTAAACGGTGCAGTATCCCCTTGCTCTGTTTGAATGACAGCCTCCTATTCTGTGTACAGGTTTCTCATGAGCACAATTAAGTGTCTTCTTAATGTTATCTATAACTTGTTATGATCCACACAATTGAATGCTTTTGCATAGTCAATAAAACATAAGTAAACATCTTTCTGGTATTTGCTTTCAGCCAAGATCCATCTAACATCAGCAGTGATATCCCTTGTTCTACATCCTCTTCTGAATCCAGCTTGCATTTCTGGAAGTTCTCTGTCAATATACTGCTGAACCATTTTTTAATTATCTTCAATAAGATTTTACTTGCATGTGATATTAATGGTATTTTTTGATAATTTCCACATTCTGTGGGATCATCTTTCTTTGGAATGCGTACAATATGGATCTCTTCCAGTCAGTTGGCCAAGTAGCTGTCTTCCAAATCACTTGGCATAGCGAAGTGAGTGCCTCCAGCATGGCATCCATCTGTTTAAACATCTCAATGGGTATTACGTCAATTGCTGGAGCCTTGTTTTTCACCAGTTCCTTCAGTGCAGCCTCAACTTTTTCCTTCAGTACCATTTGTTCTTGATCACATGCCATCTCCTGAAATGGATGAACATTAACCAATTCTTTTTGGTACAGTGACTCTGTGTATTCCTGACATCTTCTTTTGATATTTCCTGCATCATTCAGTATACTGCCCCATAGAATCTTTCAGTATTATAACTCGAGGTTTGAATATTTCCTTCAGTTCTTTCAGCTTGAGAAATGCCAAGTGTGTTCTTCCCTTTCAGTTTTCTAACTCCAGGTCTTTGCATGTTTCCTTATAATAATTGGCTCTGTCTTCTCAAGCTGCTCTTTGAAATCTTCTGTTCAGCTCTTCTATCTTGTCATTTCTTCCATTTGCTGTAGCTCCTCTCCATTCAAGGGCAAGTTTCAGAGTCTCTTCATACATCCATTTTGGTCTTTTCTTCCTTTCCTATCTTTTTAATGACCTCTTGCTTGCTTTCTTCATGGATGATACTCTTGATGTCATCCCACAATTCCTCTGGTTTTTGGTCACTGGTGTTCAGTGCATCAAATCTATTCTTTAGATAATCTCTAAATTCAAGAGATATATAATCAAGGTCATATTTTGGCTCTTGTGGACTTATTTTAATTGTCTTCAACTTCAACTTGAACTGCATAGGGGCAGTTGATAGTCTGTTCCACAATCAGCTCCTGGACTTGTTTTGGCTGAAGATATTGAGCTGCTCCATCACCTCTTGCCACAGATGGAGTCAGTCTGATTCCTGTGTACTCCATCTGGTGAAGTCCACGTGTATAGCCTCCATTTGTGTTGTTGGAAAAAGTTATTTGCAATGAATCAGTCATTGGTCTTGCAAAATTCTGTCATGTGATCTCCAGTGTTATTTCTATCACCAAGGCCATATTTTCCAACTATTGGTGATTCTTTTTTGTTTCCAACTTTTGCATTCCACTCACCAGTGATTGATTATATGTGTGGGGTATGTTATTAAGTCATACTTGACTTTGCTTTCTCTTTTAATTAAAATAAAATATATACCTTTCTTCCTGCAAGTTCTGTATTCCGCCTTATTTATTTTTGTGTCCTTTCTCTAGAGCTGTCCAATTTTCTCATTTTCCTTTAAAGTAAAAAATTCCCTTTTGTCCCTGCCATGAACCAGAACTGGATGGTGCCTGGCTACTATTCCTGAACACTTTGATCAGAGGTTCTATAAAAGAATCTTTGATCAAAAAGGAGAAAATGCAGAATGGAATTTCAAATTCTTACTGAATCCAGATTTTCTGGAGCCATGGAGGTTTGATGAACACTGAAACTGTTGCCCTGAAAAGTCTTTGTACTTTAAACCTCAAACCAAAATATCCTTTGAAGTCTTCTTAAAAACATACAATAATTAAGCTTGTCAAGAATGTCTGCCTTGATCATTGTGCTCTTTTAAGGTCTATCTATATGGATTCAAATCGGCAACAGCAACTTGAAAGACTAGATAGAAACTTAGAAGGTGGTTAGTTTATGTTAATAAAGGAGGAACACCTTGGAAAAGGAGGGTGAGAATGGTTGCAGAACTTGAAGAATGTAATCAATATCACTGAACTGTACTGTCGTTAAGTGCCATCAAATTGGTTCTGACTCATAGTGGTACTGTGTATGACAGAACAAACACTGTCTGTTGTTGTTGTTATGTGCCGTCAAATTGGACCTGACTCATAGTGGTCCTTCCTGGGTTTCTGAGACAGTATCACTATGGAAGTAGATTGCCCATCCTTCCTTCTTAGGAGTGGCTGGTGGATTTGAGCCACCAGCCTTCTGGTTAGCCATCAGGTGCCTTAGGCACTATACTACCAGAGCTCCTAAACACTGTCTCTGCTATTCATATTCTTTCACTGGCCAATTTTTTTAGAAGTAAATCATCAGGTCCTTCTTCTCCATCTGTCTTTGTCTGAAAACCTAAGGAAGAAACCTGCCCACCCTGGCTGACCCTACTGGCATTGGAAATACGTGCAGCACAGCTTCCAGCATCACAGCAACATACATGCCACCACAGTCACTGAACTGACAAATGAGTAGTGGAAATTATACATGTAGAAACTGGTGAATTGTTTTGCTATGTATATTCTCAACAACAACAATAAACAAATTACTTTTTTTAAAAGTTCCCTTTTGGGATAGTATTTCTTTATCCACTATATATGATATATATACATTGGCTGCAATGATGGGCTGAGGTATAGCAGGGATTGTGGAGCTGGCACAGGACTGGGCAGTGTTTTGTTCAGCTGTACGTGGGGTCTCTATGAGTTGGAGATGACTTGACGGCACCTAACAACAACATATGTGATGTGACCTTTATTTATTCAACTTTAAGAATCTTCCTAACTTCTTTTTCCTGAAGACTTCAGGAATAGAGTCTGATGATCATTGCCAAAGAGAACAGGAGCTTCAGAAGGAAAACTTGAAGTTGTCATCTGAAAATATTGAACTAAAATTTCAGCTTGAACAAGCAAACAAAGATTTGCCAAGATTAAAGGTAAATTTAATATTTTTTTACTATAGCTAGGAAATCTAATGCCTGAAAATGGTTTTTTCTCCTTAGTTGTTGTTTACCACATTGTGAAGAAAAGAAGTGGAAAATCAGTATTCATATGCTATCACAGTAGTGTTACCCTTTATACATTTGTTCATTTAACAATTATTTGTTGAGGGCCTACTTTTTGTTGTGCACTCTTGTAGGTACAGGGAAACAGTAGTTAGTAAGTTTTGCCTTTCCTTTACAGTGGCTTAGCTATGTTAATTATGTATTTGCTTTTATCCTTTAGAATCAAGTAAGAGATTTGAAGGAAATGTGTGAATTTCTTAAAAAAGAAAAGGTAGAAGTTGAGCGGAAACTCGGTCATGTTAGAGGGGTGAGTATGTGAGAATACGCCATACATTTGTTTCGGTCAGAAGTTATTAGGCAGAAATGAAAAAGAGAGTTGAGATATGTCCTAACAGTGGTGATGTGCTGTTACTAGGGAATTTGAGATTCATTTTTTACTCTGCAGCATCTACAGTAGAAAACAATAAGCATTCCTCTAAGTTCCAACTTAATTTTTTTGTCATCTGCACATCTTTTTATTTCACTTGTTCCATATCATGTCTCCTCTCATTGCAGATTCTTCCACATCTTAAAAACATTTAATTTCCTTGAATTTGTGTGTGTGTGTGTGTGTGTGTGTTTGGTAACTAATAACTGTTCCTTGGCTGATTATAACATTTTGTAACTATTTTTTATGATATCCTTTGCAACTTCCTGGTGTAATACTCTGTAAACATGTTTTCCACTTTTTTTAGTTATATTGTACTCATTTCTTTTTCTTCCTATCTTATTTTATATTCACTTCATACAGTTAATAAATGTTGCTTATGAGGCCAAGGCCAAAAATTGAAGCCTCTGTAAACTTCATGTTGGTAGTATCATAATACAAATACTCATTCAGGTATTAATGTTAAATGTACAATGAATTTGATGAAAATATTGAGTATTAGAAAATAATTCAGAACAACTCTCTTGCTGATTGATGGTCAGTAACATTTGTTTCTCTGATTGATGGTCAGTAATATGTGTTTCTCATATATATATATATATATAAAGAATTTTGTTAATTTGACGTTTTCTATCTAAGTAAATCATGAAAAGATGTTTAAGTTTTGTAAAAGTTTATATTTCATGTTATTTATTGCAAAGAGTGGATAGAGTTAACCCTTGAACAACATCAGTTTGAACTGCACAGCTCCACTTATATGCAGATTTTTTTCAATAAATATATTGGAAACTTTTTTGTAGATTTGTGGCAATTTGAAAAAACTCACCGATGAACTATGTAACCTAGAAATATTGAAAAAATTAAGAAAAGCTAAGTATCATGAATGCATAAAATATATGTAGGTATTAGTCTATTTTATCATTTAATACTATAACCAACTACTCACTTCTGTGGAGTTGGATCCAATTCATAGTGACCCCTCCTTGGGTCACTATCAGTATCACTACGGAAGTAGATTGCCCAGTCTTCCTTCTGAGGAGTGGCTGGTGGATTTGAACTGCTAGCCTTCTGGTTAGCAGTCAAATGCCTTAGGGCACTGTACCACCAGAGCTCCTAATACTATAAAGTACATATAAATCTCTTATAAAAAGTTAAATATTATCAAAATTTAAGCATACAAACACTAAACAGACCATACATGGTGCCATACGTAGTTAAAAGAAATGTAAGCAAATGTAAAAATGAAGTATTATCAAAACTGCATAAAATCAGGTGTAGTACATAGTGTACTACTGTAAAATTTCATAACCATCTCCTGTTGCTATTGCAGCCAGCTCACATGTTGCAAATGTCTGCTTAAAATACTGTGTGACATTAATCATTGTGTGATCAGTTTGTCTCTCCAATAAATTGCATGTCACATGAAAAATTGATCTGTCATGGTTCTCTTATAGTTTTCATCATGTTTAGTGCAATACTGTAAACCTTGAATAACAAACACCATTGGACCCATACAAAGTATTACTGGTGATGCTGGAAGTGTTCTTAAGAAGCAGAGAAAAGTCATGACATTACAAGAAAAAGTTGAATTGCTTGATACATACTGTAGATAGAAGTCTGCAGCTTGATTGCCTGCCATTTCAAAATAAATGAATCCAGCATAAGGACCACTGTAAAAAAAGAAAAAGAAATTTGTGAAGCCTTCACTGCAGCTGTGCTAGCAGGCGTGAATACTGCACTTTTTGCAAAATACCTTTTTATCTTGTTTTGAAAATGCAGCATTTATGCGGATGCAGTTACTATAAGAAAGGCATACCTATAGACCCTAATATGATTCAAGAAAAAGCAAAGGCATTATATGGTAAAGCAAAAGAAAGGTAAACAGTTTTGGAAAGAAGTTTGGCTTAAAGTGTCAGGATAACAGGAGAAGCTTTTGCTCACCAAGAGGCAGCAGGAGAGTTCCCAGACGCCATTAAGAAAATCATTAAGGAGAAAGGAAATCTGTCTGAAAAGGTTTTTAAGGCAGAGGAAAGTACCCTATTCTGGAAAAAAAAAAAAAAAAATGCCCACCAAGGATATTTATTAGTAAGGAAGAGAACCCAGGAGATGAGGCAGAAACCAAAAAAACCCAAACTCCCTGCTATCAAGTTGATTCCAACTCATAATGATCCTATAGGACAGAGTTAGAATTGCCCCCATAGAACTTCCAAAGCTGTGTATCTTTCCAGAACCAGACTGTTGCATCGTCTTTGTCCCATGGAGCAGCTGGTAGATTGAACCACCAGCTTTTTGCTTAGCAGCTGAATGCATTAACCAGTGTACCACCAGAGCTCCTGGGGATACAATAACTCTTCTGTTTTGTGTAAATGTAGTCAGGTTTATGATCAGGACTGTTTATGTTATCAGTAAGGCTTCTGGTTAACAGTAGGTTATTAGTAGTTAAGTTTTTGAGGAGTCAGAAATTTTATGTGAATTTTCTACTGTTCAAGGGATGAGCACCCAATCCCTGCATTGTTCAAGGGCCAACTGTACTAATTAAAAGTAAATAAATAAATAATAAAGCAGGCTATTTTACTCAACTTTTTTTTTTCATAATAAACAGTTTGTTAGTGACTCACATCTATTACTATACTAGGTTTTTTTTTTTTTCAGGCATGTCTTCTATTTATATTGGACAGGTACTGAATTTCTAAGCAATAGATATTGTTAGAAAATATAGAGTCAGTGTGTTATTTTTCTAGTACTACTGTAACAAAATATCTAGACGTTAAACCAGAGACATACTTTGTCTCATAGTTCTGGAGGAGTCCAAATTCAGGGCATTGACAGGGCCATACTCTCTCTCTTAGCTAGGGTAAAATCTCTCCTGATCTCTTTCAGCTTCTAATAGCCACAAGTGTTTCTTGCCATTCCTTGACTTGTAGGTGCATCTTTGCATGGCTGTCTTTCTTCCTGTGTCCCTCTCTGTGTCAGTCTTATTTATTTGTAAGGACAGCACTCAAATTTTAGGACTCACCCTAACTGGTACAACCTCATGTTAACTGATAAATCTTCAAAGAACTCACATTTTTAGAGGTAGGCGTTAGGACTTCAGCATATCTTTTTAGAGGACACAGTTCAATCCGTAACACTCTCTTATGCTGCAATTGGTATTGGATAGCTCATGAGCTTTTTAAAAACACATGTTCTCTTCTGTGGTTTTATTCCATATAAAGCTCTGGTGTACTGGAAAGAATATTAACTAAATAGATTATTTAGATTCTTAGATTTATTCATTTGCATTAGACATCAAGCCTACACTTCTATTCCTGCTTGTTACTTGTTATGGAATTAGGAATATTAAATTCTCTGAGTTTTGATTTTCTTATATATAAAGTAAGAATTATAATTCTGTGTCAAAGGATTGTTCTGAGGATGAATTGAAATAATGTAAGCTTTGCCTTCAAATGTTAGAAATTAATAGCAATGAGTATAGTAATGAATCTATTCTATTGTTGGTATATTATGCTCTCTAAAATATCTGATTAAATAAAAACGTTAACATATTCTTTTGTATAGTCTGGTCGAAGTGGGAAGACAATCCCAGAATTAGAGAAAACCATTGGTTTAATGAAAAAAGTAGTTGAAAAAGTCCAAAGAGAAAATGACCAGTTGAAAAAAGCATCAGGAATAATGACCAGTGAGAAAATGGCTAATATTGAGCAGGAAAATGAAAAGTTGAAGGTAATTTTTCTAATGTGATCACTTTTATGAAAATGTTTTACTATTATAGTTCTTAGAAAAATTTTACATATACTCATACAATATAAAATGACCTTAATGGATACAGTAGATATTTTGTACATACAGAAAAAACTTCCTGGAGACAATAATAGTCATAGAATAGCTTTCCTTGATGATTATTATTTTTCCATTACCTTGACAGCATAAAATAATTACCTGTAGCTCTTTAAAATACATACATATGTAGTGTCCAAGACTCAACCCTGAAATTGGTTAGATTGTTTTGGGGTGGATCCGAGCATAGTTGTTGAGCTACCTTATGTTTTTAAGGCAATAGGTCATTCTAATAAGCACCCAAAGTTGAAAACCTTTGATAGAGATGCCCAGTATTCAAGGGGAGACTTTAATTTATATCTCATTAAAAATTGTCTCTAAAACAAACTTTGAGTTAACATTTATGAGTTTACATTTTCTTTCCTTGTTTTGATATCTTACCATTTTTGTATTACTTAGGCTGAATTGGAAAAACTTAAAGCTCACCTTGGACGTCAGTTGAGCATGCATTATGAGTCTAAGACCAAAGGCACAGCGAAAATTATTGCTGAAAATGAAAGGCTTCGTAAAGAACTTAAAAAAGTATAACTTTTATGACCTATTATTTTTTATATTAACTAAGTGATACATCTTGGGAAAATTGAAAATAGATTGTTGATAAGAGTGTCTATTGGAAGCAGACATTAAGAGATTTAGGACTTGTTTTTATATGCCTGCTTTCATCACATCCTTTTACTATTAGGGACATCAATAATATAAAAATTAATAAATTTTAAGTCAGGATAATGTAGAAGTGGAAGGAAGATGGGGCAATCTACTTCCATAGTGATACGGCCTCGGAAACCCAGGGAGGAGTTGCTATGAATCAGGCCTGACTTGACGGCACATAACAACAACAATGTAGAAGCTAGAAAATGTGAATTTATATCTATTTTATATCTTAATATTTATATATTAAGCTCTGTTACTTACTTATCCTGAGAACTAGGGAAAGTTAATTAGCCCTACTGTGTCTCAATTTTCTTACTTATAAAATTGGGAATGATAATTATACCTGTCTCACAGTCCTGCTGTGTGGTTTGAGTTAATTTTTATTCATGTGACTTAGAACTGTGTTAAAGAGTATGTGAAAGTGTTTTATAAAACAAACAATAAAACTAATTTTTATTTAAATGGAAAAATATATTTCTTGACCCAGAAAATAGTATGGATATCTATATGGATAACCTAGGAAATTAAATTGAAATTCAGATACTTGGAATAGTATCTGTGTGTATCATGAAGCCATAGTGATACTGTGCATTGAATATGAATGCTTAATAATGAAAACAGTCTCTGTTACTTGAATATAGTTTATTCCTAAAGATAAGTCTCACAAGTATTAGGGAGTCAAAACAAAGCATCTTTAAATGTGTGAAGACAGAATAATATTCCATTATTCTAAAAATTTTATGGAGAAAACAAAGGGTAAATACAGACTAAAGTAACCCCACTACTACAGTAAAATGCTTATAAATGTATTTTCTCAACCTTATTTGCATGATCTCATGTTCTAATTATTATGACCATATTGCTCTTTTAGAGTGAAAGGACCATTGCATTTTTATTGGAATTTTAATCAGCATTTGAAACTTCAGGTTATTTTTTGTTTTTCATTTTATAATAATAATTTTAAGTTATCCTGCATCTATGAAAACAGTATTATGTTTTGTCATAATATACTAATTAGTTTTTAATGATAGGAAACTGAAGCTGCAGAGAAATTAAGGATAACCAAGAATAATTTAGAGATACTAAATGAGAAGATGACAGTCCAGCTAGAAGAGACTGGTAAGAGATTACAGTTTGCAGAAAGCAGAGGTCCACAGCTGGAAGGTGCTGACAGTAAGAGCTGGAAATCAATTGTTGTCACAAGGTAGGAATAAATAGTTTAAAGCTTATGTAAAGTGTAATCAGTTGTATTTTAAAACATCCTTGTTTTTTTAAAAAAAAGACATAAACTGATGAATTTAATTCCTTCCTATCAACAATTTTTAGTGTCTTTTTGTTTTTTTTATCATGGCATAGCTAAAATGGTTTTCTGAAAACACTTAACTAGTTTGGGTGGGAGGGCACAGAACAGAGCACAGCTTAGTGTGTGACTTAAAAATGTTGGAGCTGAGTGGGCATCATGAAGCTGCTGCCAACTGTGTGCCTAGGATGATGGTGCCCAACGTCCTTGGTCTTGTCTTTCTCCATCTGCAACCTCAACTTCTTGACTATGTTAATTTCCTACCTCAAGTAGAAATGAGAAGATGTATCAGCCAGGAACAGTTGAACTGTCACAACCTGTAATGTACTCGATCTGGGCTTTGCTCCAGTGCTCTTGGAGTTATATCCTGGGCAACTTTCTATTTAGATGGCCCCTGATGGATGAGCTAAGAACAGTACACCTACTCCTCACTTAATGGACTATCGTGTTTTCTGACATTTTGCATTTGTGACAACTTTGAAAAAATCCTCAGGTGGTTCCTCCAGTGGTCGAGGACCTGCTCGGGCCATGGTCAGATCTGGACCACCCTCCATAGGCTACCTTTAACGATATTCTAGAGGCTCCAGCAACGACCAGGCCACACGAAGAATGGCAGCTGACTGGCCACGGAACATGTACTGTTTGTCCATTACATTTTAGTATAGCCATGTAAGGCATGAGACAATGGCAGGATGACGTAGGTCATGGGTGGCAGGGCGGGGGGGGCGGGTCGCAGATCTTTCTTTGGTGACACATTAGGTCTTCCTCATTCTGAAATCCTTATAGTTGTTCTGTTATTTACTTAAAAACCTAGTCGCACTTACTGTGTGAGACCTTGTGATGACTACTGGCACAACTTACCCTTTCATTAAAAAATGGTTCCTTACATTTCTCTTCAAAAGTGATTTTAATGATTTTAATTCTTCAAATAATGTGCTTAGTCTTTAGAGTATATTTTAAAGATCGTCTATGCATTAAAATCTTATTAATTTTCTTTAGTGCATTTGACAAAATATTGATAAATATTCATTTTATGTCATATTTTGGAACATAGTACAGATATCCAGATGAAATCTACATGGAAAATTAAACTTCTAGTCTCCTTGTTTTGACCTTTCACAGTGTAGGTCCTTCCTATTTTCCTGTCAGCTTCATAACTCCTCCATTATACACTGTTTCTCTCATCCATGCTTTTGCACATTTTCCCTCAACCTGGAATCTCCTCTTTGGGTGTGTAAGAGAGAGCCAGAGAAAAGCTTTGCAATCATTAAATATATTCTTAAGATTATCCAGTAATACAGAATTTGATGAAATCTGATGAATTTTACTTTCTATTTTTACTTTGTGAGTGAAAAATGAAGTTTAAACTTTTAGTGTGGTCAAACTCAGGCTCCATCTTTATTTATAACCTTGGGTAATACCTAAATGCTCTATTTTCATTGGCCTATCTGTTGATTAAGAATACTTACCTTTACCATTACCTGTTAAAGCTAAATAAATATGTAGCACAATGCTTGACTAAAAGAAACAATATAAGAAGATAATCTTATTTTTAGTTTGCTCATATGAATTAGCTTTTAAACCAGTGGGAAGAAATATTTGCATATGTACACATTTTTTTTCCTCTATACTTTTAGAATGTATGAAACCAAGTTGAAAGAATTGGAAACTGATATTGACAAAAAGAATCAAAGCATTATTGATCTTAAACAGCTTGTAAGAGAAGCAGCAGAGAGAGAAGAAAAAATTAAGAAGTATACTAAAGACCTTGAGCAACAGGCAAGTAATGTAATTTTTATTTATGTGATAAAATAACGTATTACATCTGAAGCTACTCCTTGGCATTGTTTATTATAGGTGAGAATGAACTTGTGATTAATTCCTCCTCTAGAAGGCTCATCTAAGTGAACGGCATCACCATTCACCCGTTTCTTTAAGGTAGAAATCTTAGATCATCATTGACGCTTTCTTTCTTTCTCATACCCCATATCTTTTCTGTCATTAAATTATGTCAACTCTATTTTCAAAATATATCCCATATCAGACATAAATCACAAATTATCAGCCCCTTCACAACAATACTATATTCAAGCTATTATCTCACACCTGACCCATTAAATAATTTCCTAACTGGTCTCTCTGCTTCCACCCATTTCACTCTAGCCCTGTCCCTCATCTGTCCTCAACACAGTTGGCAAAATGATCCTTCTAAAACATGAAGTAAATCAGTGCTCGTTTCAGCAGCACTTATGCTAACTTTGGAATGATACAGAGATTAGCATGGCCCCTGCGGAAGGATGACAAGCAAATTCATGAAAGTAGCATGTTTAGTACTTCTATTTTACCTCTTAGTTCAATGCATAGTACCTGGGGTCTTAAAAGCTTGCAAGTGGCCATTCAAGGCACAATTGGTGTCTGTTTGCTTGCTACTGCAGAGGAAGAAGGAGAAACAGGAATAGCATAGTGCCTAAGGCACTTGACTGCCAGAAGGCTGGCAGTTCAAACCCACAGCTACTCCTCGGAAGGAAGGTTGGGCAATCTACTTCCATAGTGATACTGCCTTGGAAACCCCAGAAGGGGTCGCTATGAGTCAGATCCAACTTGATGGCACATAACAACATGGACTGTGTGGCTAATTGTCTCCGTGAACAACTGCTTCCATTGCTATGAGACCAGAACTAGATGGTGGTGAGCTAACATCACTGAACATTTTGACCAAAGATTCATAGGAGAATCCTGATCAAAAGGGAGGAAATGCAGAACAGAATTTCAAATTCTTATGGACTCAAGACTTGCTGGAGGTTGGAAGAACCACTGAAACTATTGCCCTGAGATAATCTTTAAACCTTAAACCAAAAATATCCCCTGAAGTTGTCTTAAACAATAGTTTTGCTTAACTAACAAAAAAATGTATGCCTTGAGCATTATACTCTTTTAAGAGCTATCTGTACAGGATCAAATTGACAACAAAACACAAACGCAACCACTGCCTTGGAGTTGTGTCCGACTCATAGCAACCCCTCCTTGGGTTTCTGAGACAGTATCACTGTGGAAGGAGCTTGCCCAACCTTCCTTCCAACGTGTGGGTGGTAGGTTTGAACCGCCAGCCTTCTGGTTAGCAGTCAGATGCCTTAGGCACTATGCCACCAGAGCTTTTAAAACAGAAAGTGTAAAAATAAGATAAGAACCTTAGAGGGCAGTGAATTTATATAATGGGGAAGGAACGATTCAGAAAATGAGGGTAAGAATGGTTACATAACTTGAAGAAAGTAATCAGTGTCAGTAAATAATACACATAAAAACTGTTTAATTGGTATGTATTTTGCTGTGTATATTCTCAACAGTAACCAAATAAATAACATTAAAAAAATAGTAAAGCAAATCATAGAAGTCCCATTCTCAGAATCTTCTCATGGCTCCACATCACCCCTGGAATAAAGTTATGAAGTTCTTTCTATAAGAACCTAAATTGAAGAAAACTATAAAAAACTACTTCAAGAAACCATAAGAGATGTACATAAATGGAAGAACATCCCATGCTCGTGGATAGGAAGATTGAACATTTTGAAAATGTCAGTACCCAAAGCAATCTATACATTCAATGCAATCCCAATCCAGATCCCATCAACATTCTTTAAGGATATGGAAAAACCAATCACTAACTTTATATGGAAAGGAAAGAGACCTCAGATAAGCAAAGCACTACTGAAGAAGAAAAACAAAGTAGGGGGTCGCA